AGATTCAATGCAATTTCCATCAAAATACCAACTCAATTCTTTACAGACCTTGAAAAAAAGATTCTCAGCTTCAAGTGGAGAAACAAAAAACCCAGAATCTCCAAAATAATCCTGTACAACAACAGATCATCTGGAGGTATCTCTATCCCTGATCTCAAGTTGTACTACAGAGCAATAGTAATAAAAACTGCATGGTATTGGCATAAAAACAGAAAGGAGGATCAATGGAACTGCATAGAAAACCCAGAAATAAACCCACACACCTATGAATACTCGATTTTTGACAAAGAAGCCAAAACCATTCAATGGAAAAAAGACAGCATCTTCAACAAATGGTGCTGGTCCAACTGGATGTCCACATGCAGAAAAATGAAAATAGATCTATATTCATCACCCTGCACAAAACTAAAGTCCAAGTGGATCAAAGACCTCAACATAAAACCAGATACTCTAAATCTGTTAGAAGAAAAAGTGGGGAACAGCCTAGAGCTCATTGGCACATTCACTCTTCCTGAACAGAACACCAACAGCACAGGCTCTAAGAGCAACAATCAATAAATGGGACCTCATGAAACTGAAAAGCTTCTGTAAAGCAAAGGACACTGTCATCAAAACAAAACGACTGCCTACAGATTGGGAAAGAATCTTCACTAACCCTTTACCTGACAGAGGACTAATATCGAGTATATACAAAGAACTAAAGAAGCTGAAAAGCAGCAAACCAAGTAATCCAATTAAAAAATGGGGAACAGAGCTAAACAGAGAATTCTCTGTAGAGGAATATCGAATGGCAGAGAAACACTTAATGAAATGCTCAACCTCATTAGCCATTAGGGAAATGCAAATCAAAACGACCTTGAGATATCACCTTACACCCATCAGAATGGCCAAGATGAAAAACTCAAGGGACAACACATGCTGGAGAGGTTGTGGAGAAAAGGGAACCCTCCTCCACTGCTGGTGGGAATGTAAACTGATACAACCACTCTGGAAATCTATCTGGCGCTTTCTAAGACAATTAGGAATAGTGCTTCCTCAAGACCCAGCTATACCACTGCTAGGTATATACCCAAAGTTTGCTCAAGTACACAAAAGGGATATTTGCTCAACCATGTTTATAGCAGCTTTATTTGTAATAGCCAGAACCTGGAAATAACCCAGATGTCCATCATCAGAGGAATGGGTACAGAAATTGTGGTATTTTTACACAATGGAATACTACTCAGCAATCAAAAAGGAGGAAATCATGAACTTTGCAGGAAAATGGTGGGATCTAGAAAAGATAATCCTGAGTGAAATATCCCAGAAGGAGAAAGACAAACACGGTATATACTCACTTATATAAACCTATAAGATATGATAAACATAATGAAATCTATACACCTAAAAAAGATAATCAAGAGAGCGGACATGAGGTAGGATTATCAATCCTCCTTTAGAAAGACAGATGGGATGCGCATTGAACATATGACAGGAGTCTACTGAGTGCATCTGAAAGACTCTAACTAGCAGTGTTTTCAAAGCAAAGACTCGTGACCAAACCTTTGGCAGAGTACAGGGAATCATAAGAAAGAAGGGGAGTTAGTCTGATGAGGAAAGGATAGGAGCTCCACAAGGACCAAATATATCTGGGCACAGGGTCTATTCTGAGACTGACATTCAACCAAGGACCATGTATGGATATAACCTAGAACCTCTGCTCAGATGTAGCCTGTGGTAGCTCAGTAACCAATTGGTTTCCCATAGTGAGGGGAACAAGAACTATTTCTACCAGGAACTCAATGACTGGCTCTTTGGCCTCCCCACCTCCCAAGGGAGGAGCAGTCCTGTTAGGCCACAGAGGAGAGCTTTGCAGCCAGTCCTGAAGATACCTGATCAAACAGGATCATATGAATGGGGAGGAGGTCCCCCCTATCAGTGGACTTGGCAAGGGGCACGGTGGAGATGAGGGAGGGAGGGAGGGAGGGACTGGGAGGGAAGGAGGGATCGGGACACGGCTGGGATACAGAGTTAATAAAATATAACTGATAAGGAAAAAATAAAATTAAAAAAAAAAGAATATTGTTGCTTGTTCATCCATCATTATCCGTAAGAATTTAGTTTGGATATGTCATGCTTTGAGTAATAATGGCCTCCATAGGCATGAGAGAGAGATGCTGGGCCAGGGTTGGCTTCTAAAACCTCAAAGCCCACCCCAGTGACACAGCTCCCCCAATAAGGCAGCATTAAAAATATAAATCATATACTTTCAAAAGAACTTTATTATAAAAATTTATTTCATTTTTTTTAATTTTATTTTTTTCTTATCAGTTACATTTTATTAACTCTGTATCCCAGCCGTGTCCTGATCCCTCATTCCCTCCTAGTCCCTCCCTCCCTCCCTCATCTCCACCGTGCCCCTTGCCAAGTCCACTGATAGGGGGGACCTCCTCCCCATTCATCTGATCCTGTTTGATCAGGTATCTTCAGGACTGGCTGCAAAGCTCTCCTCTGTGGCCTAACAGGACTGCTCCTCCCTTGGGGGGTGGGGAGACCAAAGAGCCAGTCATTGAGTTTCTGGTAGAAATAGTCCTTGTTCCCCTCACTATGGGAAACCAATTGGTTACTGAGCTACCACAGGCTACATCTGAGCAGAGGTTCTAGGTTATATCCATACATGGTCCTTGGTTGAATGTCAGTCTCAGAATAGACCCTGTGCCCAGATATATTTGGTCCTTGTGGAGCTCCTATCCTTTCCTCATCAGACTAACTCCCCTTCTTTCTTATGATTCCCTGTACTCTGCCAAAAGTTTGGTCATGAGTCTTTGCTTTGAAAACACTGCTAGTTAGAGTCTTTCAAATGCGCTCAGTAGACTCCTGTCATACATTCAATGCACATCCCATCTGTCTTTCTAAACCAGATGTCCATCAACGGAGGAATGGGTACAGAAATTGTGGTACTTTTACACAATGGAATACTACTCAGCAATCAAAAAGGAGGAAATCATGAAATTTGCAGGCAAATGGTGGGATCCAGAAAAGATCATCCTGAGTAAAATATCCCAGAAGGAGAAAGACAAACATGGTATATACTCACTTATATAGACCTATAAGATATGATAAACATAATGAAATCTGTACACCGAAAAAATTTGTTTTAATAGAACTGCTTTTATTCACTTAGTTTTAGCAATAGTTTCAAAAACAGCCCCTCAGCCCATTTCTATTAACTACATATGCAACCAAAATGGTTATCCTTATACTGTTACAAATGTATGCAGGTCTTTCACTTGCTTGGAAGTGTATTGTTTACCTAGCTTCTTTTTCAGCCCATTTATTGTTTGTGCAAAAGAGGTCTACTATTTTTTTAATTAATTTTGTATTTGGCTACTCTGCTGAAGGTGTTTATCCGTTGTAGGAGTTCTCAGGTAAATATTTTGGGCTCACTTATGTATACTGAACCACAAAAGAGAGAGCATGCATGGAACACCCCCCCACACACACACACACATATGTAAGAGATGTGCAACTTGGTCTTCATGTAGGACCCCTAACAGCAGGAGCAGGGCCTGTCACTGACTCTGTGACCTTTGGATCCCTTTCCCCTAACTGGGCTGGAATGCCTATCCTCAATAGGAGAAGACACACATAGTCCTACAGCAACCTGATATGACAAGGAGAATTAATATCATGGGAAATCTCCTCTCTGAGGAGAAAGGGAGAGGGGATGGGAGAAGAGAGTTAATTAAAGGGAACTGGAAGGAGAGGAGGGAAGGGAAGCTCCTAAGCTCCTATTGGGACGTAAAGTAAATGAATTAATGAACAAAATGTACCAGAAAGGGAAGTGTACTAGTAATCAGGTACCATAAATTTGAAGATCCTTACAGGCTTCCTGTAGCATCATCTGTGATGATCCATGAGCCTTGAAGGGGGGGGGGGGCATATTATAAAGATAGTCAATTTAAGATTAAGCCCTATACAGTCTTATTAGTCATAAGCTGTACAAAAAAAAAAAAAAAAGCTTCAGGATTGCCAGCCTTGATAGGCAGCTGCCCATGTGCCAACTTTGTTCACCCGTGAACTTAAGTGTGCTTTAAAATAGCACATAAACTTGCAAAGGAATAAGAAGTGACCATGAACAAAGGGAGGAGTTGGAAAGAGAAGTAACCATGTGGGTTCAATCCAAACACATTATATGTATGTTTGAAATTATCAAACAATAAGTTTTGTATTTTTTAAATAAAAATTTTACCCAATAACTTTGAAAATATAATAAAATTTTAAAATTAGTAGAAAATAAACAAAGATTCAATAAGGATCAGGTAAGATATTGCTGTGGACTTTTACAGGTACATTTATTAACTTGACCATGTATTTCTATCAAATGTGGGACTGAACTGGTAGAATGCAAAGTTAAATTTGGAGTTTTTATAGTTATGCTTTGTGGAGAGCCGCTTGGGCATGCCCGGGCAAAACGCCATTACAAGATGGCGCCGACATCCGGCTCTGACCCTGGAAGACAAGTAATATTACGCATGCGCAAGGGCAAAAGCGCCCCAAGTCTTGGCCCAGCCCAGGGCATCTTGTGAGGTAATGAGTAAGCAGCCAATCATAGACCACACGCCGCCTTAGGGTGTATATAAGTAGTGCCATTCCTGGGCTCGGGGTCTTCCTCTCATTACTGCTGAATAAACGCTTGCTGCAGAAGAATCCTGGTGTCTGTGTGCATTCTTGCTGGTGAGACGACCACGTGGGCTACAACTGGTGCCTAAACCCGGGACGCCAGGCTACCGACCATCGTCAGCGCTGAGGAGACCCCCCCCACCACGGGGAGGATTCAGAACTGCAGTCTCAGGTAAGCTCTGAGAGATATGTTCCTTGAGCCCCTCGTGGCTATAGGAGTGGTTCTCTTGGCTTTTCTTTTGTTTTGTGTGGGCAGATATTGCTCTTGCTTGCAAGATTCAAAATACCGCCATGCTATATTAGAGGGAGAAGCCGTTTTAGGGGAACTACAGGATAGCATGTCAGAAACAGAGCGAAGTGAACGTCTTGGGGCCCGAAAGAAAAGACATAAGGATAAGCAGTTAAACCCCTCCAAGGAGGAGAAAGATAAGGGAAAGGACACCCTGGGAGAGAAAGATAAAGAGGAATTTTCAGCTAAAACTAGTAAAAAGAAGCCTTTGTATTCACTAAAGGAACTAGAGGCTTTGGGACTTTCCAGTTCCGATTCAGAGGGACTTTCCCCTTCTGAGGAGGAGGATCTAGAAGAGGAAGCAGCTCGCTATGAGAGAGAGAGGTACCACCCAGACGAGCGGCCGCCTTGGAAAAATCGAAAGCAAATAAAAGCAGGAAGTCGGGGTGCTGTCTCTTCTCGGCCCGCTGCTTCTGCCACTCCCTCTGCTCCCCCGCCTTATTCCCTGGGTGGAGGCTCTAAGACATTTATGTCCTCCCAGGCTCGAAGGCAAATTTCTCTCAAGTACCCTGTATGGGAAAATGTTGAAGGAGGACACACTCATGTAGCCGTAGATTACCCTCAGATCAAAGAGCTCGCAGAATCTGTCAATAAATATGGTAGAGATGCTAATTTTACCATTATGCAGCTAGAGAGACTTGCCACCGTGGCTATGACTCCTAATGATTGGGAGACCACTATTAAAGCTGCCTTACCTAACATGGGTCAGTATATGGAATGGCAGGCACTATGGTATGACGCCTGTCGAGCTCAAGCTCAGACTAATGCCTTGGAAGTGGGTCCCCAGAGAGAATGGACCTTTGATCTCTTAACAGGACAAGGTCAATATGCCAACCATCAGACCAACTATGAATGGGGAGCTTATGGGCAGGTTTCAACCGCTGCTATTAGAGCTTGGAAAGCACTTTCAAAAAAGGGGGAACCCACAGGTCATTTAACAAAAATAATTCAAGGTCCTCAGGAGCCTTTTGCTGATTTCGTGGCCCGAATGACGGAATCAGCAGGCAGGATCTTTGGTGATCCGGAACTAGTTAAGCCAATGATAGAACAATTAATCTATGAAAAAGCTTCCCCTGAATGTAAAGCAGCTATCCTCCCAAGGAAAAATAAGGGATTAACAGACTGGATAAAAATCTGCTGAGGACTGGGAGGACCTCTTACAAATGCTGGTTTAGCAGCAGCTATTTTACAAAGCAGAAGCCAAGGTCAATCAAAGAATTCTAGGGTTTGTTTCAACTGTGGAAAACCTGGACATCTCAAACGAGAATGTCAGACTAAACAGCAAAAAAAGATCCCTGGTCTCTGTCCAAAGTGTGAAAAAGGACGCCATTGGTCCAATGAGTGTAGGTTGGTTAAGGATATTCAAGGAAAAATTATTTACCATGATGCCCCAGCAGCGGCTATCCTGCAGAGCAAGAGCCGCTCAGGTCCAGGAGGCAATAAAACCTGCTATAGCTGTGGTAAACCAGGCCATTTGAAGCGAGATTGCCGTGCTACTGCACAAAAGAAAGTTCCAGGATTGTGCCCCAAATGTAGGAAGGGTAATCATTGGGCCAATGAATGTCGTTCAGTTAGGGATATTCAGGGAAAACTTATTCAGCATAAAGCCCCCCTAATGAGAGGATGAAAATATTCCAAAAAACGGGTTTCAGGGCCCCAGGTCCCAGGGCCCCAAAAGATATGGGACACAAGCAGGCAACAGGAGGGTCTATCCAGCTGTAGAGCAACAAGAGGATCGGCAGGATTGTGTCGGGAGCCACTCCCGCCATTACAAGATGGCGCCGGTTTCCTGCTTCCTGGTTCTTCTTGCCAGCATTGTTTTGCGATCTGCGCATGCGCCGCCTTATGCTAATGTAGGCTTGTGTGGTCCTCCATTTGGAGACCACATGCTAATTGGGTTTTGTGTGGAGCACCAATTACAGACGAACAAGTCACCCTGCTGGCTACTTAAGCAGAACGCACACAGGGTTCGGGGTCCTTCTCCATCTGCTGTTAAGAGCCTCACAATAAAGTTGCTGCTGGACAAATCCGTTGTTGCTGCGTCGTCCTTATCGGTGAGGGCTGCGCGTGACAGGATTGGACCTCCGTTCCACCTCCCAGTTCTTATTGATGCCCCAATTGGGTGTTCAGCCCGTTCCAGTTGAGTTTGAGGGCCCTCTGCCCAAGGGAAGTGTTGGCCTGATACTCGGACACTCCTCTCTTACCCTAAAGGGGCTTATTATCCATCCTGGAATAATAGATCAAGATTATACTGGAAGGCTTCAAGTTCTTTGTTCTTGTCCGCAAGGAATATTTTTCATTTCCCCTGGAGATAGGATTGCCCAGTTAGTTCTCCTTCCAAGCTTGCAGGATGTTTTCCCATCCACAGGAATGACAAGGGGCAACGAAGGGTTCGGTTCTTCAGGAACTGACTTTGCTCACTTGGTGGTTGATTTAAAAACTAGGCCCACCTTACAATTACAGATAGAGGGGAAACTTTTCACTGGCATTTTAGATACTAGGGCTGACCGGAGCATTATCTCTTCAAATTGGTGGCCTAGGGCATGGCCTGTTACACAATCATCTCATTCCTTACAAGGGTTAGGATATGAAGCCAGCCCTGCAGTCAGCTCATGCCCGTTGACCTGGCAAGTACCAGAGGGTCAGACAGGAAGTTTCATACCTTATGTACTTCCTCTCCCCATTAACCTCTGGGGAAGAGACATCTTGCAAGACTTAGGATTGGCATTGACCAATGAGTACTCTCAACAAGCTGTTGATATAATGAAAAGGATGGGTTATAAGAAAGGAAAAGGCCTTGGTAAACAGGAACAAGGGAGATTACACCTGATTTCACAGGAAAGTAATGCAGGGAAACAAGGCCTGGGTTTTTCATTAGCTGCCATTGAGGGTTCCATGCCCTTATCTTGGCTCACAGAGGAGGCTGTATGGGTTTCTCAATGTTCCCTTTCCTCTGAAAAGCTGGAAGCCGCTACAAGGCTGGTTAAAGAACAGGTATGTCATTCAGCATTGCCTCGAGGCATGGAGTGCCTGGGGAAAAGCCTAAAATCCTTATACTTCCCAAAAATTTGGACAATTCTGTCGCCAGATGGGGGTGACCCATCTGACAGGTCTCCCATATAACCCTCAGGGACAAGGCATCATAGAAGGAGCTCATCGCACACTCAAATCTTATTTAATAAAACAAAAAGGGGGAGTCGAGGAGGCTCTGCCCTCAGTACCACGAGTGACTATCTCTATAGCACTCTTCACCCTTAATTTTCTAAATTTGGACAGTCAGGGCCATTCGGCAGCAGATCGTCATTGTCTGGAGCCCAATAGGCCTAAAGAAATGGTCAAATGGAAAGATGTCCTGACTGGTCAATGGAAAGGCCCGGATCCTATTTTAATAAGATCCAGGGGAGCTGTCTGTGTTTTCCCACAGGAAGAAGATAATCCTTTTTGGTGACCGGAACGCTTGACACGGAAGCTTGTGATACCTGAAGATGACTCCCCAAAGGACGTGCCTGCAGAGGAAAGTGGTCGGAAGGGTTTGATGAGACTCTCGAATCATTGAGAGCGGCAGTGATAGCCATCAACTCGACACGAGTGGACCTGTCATTGACTGAAGGACTCTCCTCCTGGATCTCTTCAGCCTTTTCTTTCTTTAAAGAGTGGGTGGGGGTAGGCCTGTTTGGCACTGCCTTAGTTTGTGGTTTAGTGTTCTCACTTTGGTTGGTGTGTAAGCTCAAAGCCCAACAACAATGTGACAAGGTCGTAATTGCTCAAGCGTTTGCAGCCATGGAACAGGGTTCCTCCCACGCAATGTGGCTTTCAATGCTGACAAAAAACTGAGTGCCTTTCGCTGACAGCCCATGCACCCCTAGGGAAGGGTGTCACAAGTGGTATGGTCTAATTTTCTTCACACTGGGGATGCGAGGTTAAGCACTGCACAGAGAAAGGCTCATAATAGGCAGTTCTCTGGGAAGCATGTTTGATTGCATGAAGGTTGTACCCAAGATCCTTCCCCTGGAAAAAGGTACAGGACAGGTCTAGAGTCGCATACAGGTGAAGGGCCTGTAGCTGGCTCTAGTACAATGTCCCATTTTTCACACTAGGGATCAAACCTCTACTTCCGTCCGTTGTGTTCTTGTTTGTTGGTCAGCTTCTAATAAAACAAAAAGGGGGAGATGTGGAGAGCCGCTTGGGCATGCCCGGGCAAAACGTCATTACAAGATGGCGCCGACATCCGGCTCTGACCCTGGAAGACAAGTAATATTACGCATGCGCAAGGGCAAAAGCGCGCCAAGTCTTGGTCCAGCCCAGGGCGTCTTGTGAGGTAATGAGTAAGCAGCCAATCATAGACCACACGCCACCTTAGGGTGTTTATAAGTAGTGCCATTCCTGGGCTCGGGGTCTTCCTCTCATTACTGCTGAATAAACGCTTGCTGCAGAAGAATCCTGGTGTCTGTGTGCATTCTTGCTGGCGAGATGACCACGCGGGCTACAATGCTTTTATTTGTATGCATTTTTTTTTTGAAGTATGGAATGAGCATCTAGAAAAGGTGGGTTAATGTTTGGGCAAAACCTTGAATCAACTTTTGTATGTTTGGTACCAAGGCTGCTTCCTGTTATCTTATCATAAGTCAAGCACTGGAACAATCAGACAATAAAACAAACAGAAAAATATAAATATCTCTGGGGATTAAAAATGGGACATTATGCATACCAGAAAAGAGGCAATCACTCTACCACTGAAAATATAATATAGAGCCCTCCTTCTTTTTGCTTTCTGTTTTGAGACTGAGTCTCACTGAGATGCAGAAGCTGGCCTCGAGCCCAGTCTGTAATCTACACCAACCAGGCCTGGATTTATTCTCATTCTTGCTCAGCTTCCTGAGCAGCAGAGATTGCAGCCCTGTGTTACAAGGAATGCTTGAGCGTTCCTTTTTTTTTTTTTTTGATAGAATATCTTTTGACTAAAACATCTCTTCATTTTATTATCTTACTCTTTTAGAAAAGATTGTGTTCACTCTGAGACTGTCTCAATTATTCTCTCCTTGATTTTCTTCCGCAAACTGATACATTTTCTACTCATAGAAATCATTTCTGTTGGAACACAATAATATTCGTTTCATAAGCTGAATGTGTGATGTTCCAGCTACATAGTTCTCTGTGTTCTGTATACATCCACAAACATTTGTTGATTAAGCCCACATCAGAAAACTTCACTTTGTGCATAGGACATGGCAATTGCCATATCTACTCATTATCACTGAGACCTAAAATACACAAGTATTATTTTCACTTAAAAGAAGACAAAATTGAGGAAGCACCAGATTGCTTTCCACAGTGGTTGTACAAGTTTACATTCACACCAGCAGTGGAGGAGGGTTCCCCTTTCTCCACAACCTCTCCAGCATGTGTTGTCACTTGAGTTTTTGATCTTAGCCATTCTGATGGGTGTAAAGTGTAATTTTAGGGTCGTTTTGATCTGCATTTCCCTAATAGCTAATGACGTTAAACATTTCTTTAAATGTTTCTCTACCATTCAATATTCCTCTATTGAGAATTCTCTGTTTAGCTCTGTTACCCATTTTTAATTGGATTACTTGATTTTTTGCTGTTTAACTTCTTTGGTTCTTTATATATACTGGCTATTAGTCCTCTGTCAGATATAGGATTGGTGAAGATTCTTTCCCAATCTGTAGGCAGTCGTTTTGTTTTGATGACAGTGTCCTTTGCTTTACAGAAGCTTTTCAGTTTCATGAGGTCCCATTTATTGATTGTTGCTCTTAGAGCCTGTGCTGTTGGTGTTCTGTTCAGGAAGTTGTCTCCTGTGCCAATGAGTTCAAGGTTCTTCAGAGTTTAAAACACTTGTTTTTCTTCCAGGGGATCTGAGTTAGATTCTACATCAGTCTTACACCTGCCTGTAACTTAAGCTCAAGGGTGTTAGGCATTCTCTTCTGGCATTCACAGGAACACAAGCACACACACACAATCACACACACACACACACACACACACATACACACAGTGACAGACAGACACACACAGAAAAGACATGAAGAGAAAGAAGAAAGAGAAAGAGAGACAGAGAGACAAATTAAAAATTGTTATACTTAAAAAGAAACTTCTCTAATGAGTGGTGAGTTACTCTCT